CTTCCTGGCTATATGCTACCCAGAATATTGAATTACATCCTAGTGAAAGATTTTCGGGAGTGATTTCACCTAGAAGTGAGAATATATTCAAAATAATTCAGGAATGATTTCTCATACGTGAAACGAATGATGAAGGAAGGTGAGAAGACGGAGTCAACGTCAACACCATTCAGGTTCACTTCTTCCAATTTCAGCCAGACTTTGTTGTGTGGGCCAGGTAGCCGTGCGGACAGAGTGTCTATATTCTAATTCGCATTCGCTTGCCGGTCGTGGGTTCGATTCCCATCGACTGCACAAATTTTTCTAATGGCCGAAGAAAGTGTTTGGGATCACACGTTAAGAGGTAAGGCCCCCGTCATTCCTTGCTCGCACAAGACTTTCGAAGACTTCTGAGGGTTGCTCGTAAGGGGGCAACCGAAAGACGGATAGAACAATTTTAGATAGTGTGATACATTCTGAACTTTTCGAGATCTCATGTAGTGCAGTGAAATCATTGCGGATACCATATATATAAACTGATGATGAACTTCGTTCTCGACTTTCAACAATAAGGTATTTTCTGCGTGTCAGCGGCGTGAAGCATAGACTACACAATACACATGGCGTGAAGGCAATAAAGTATATGGCAATCACTTCATTCTCATTCGCTTGAAGGTGCTTGGAGTTTGTAGCTTGAAAACCAAGTCTGAAGTTGAAAACATAGATACATGATTTGACTTTTTTGCTAAGCTTCAATAGCTATAGTCTTTGAAAGTGCGTGTTATTATGGTGTTTACAGATGTTATTTAATATTATTTATAGATGCAGTGAGAAGGAGACGATGATGGGCTACCAATTAGGAATCCCCGAACTGGAGGAATGGAAGGATCACGCAAAGTTCTTAGTGGTGATACGATTTTTTGTTATCAAGTTTTCAGAATGCATTTTGTTTTCGTGATATTCTTTTACCCTCTCTAGGATAACCTGAGCACTCGCCTGAGCATGTTTTGTGTGTTCAGTCTAGAATTATTCTCTTAACATTTTCAAGATAACTCAATAATATTCTTATCATATTTGTGTAGACCATTTATACTAGATTTGTTCCAGGAATATAGACGTGGTCAATTTTCGATAGTGTCCTATAGAATATTCTTAGACTCTTTGAAAGTGTCCCCTCTCTATGAACTGAGAATATTCTTGCAGTGGATTATTATGTTTTATTTTGTGGATATTTATAGAATAATTGCATTTTCTCGAGGCATAATATAAAGATATCCTATGAATATTTTCATCATATATAGGCTACGAATGCCATGGCATATCCCTACTTGATTTAGATAGAATCTATGTTTTCAGTGGGCAAATGGCCTTCGAAACGCTTTATTTGCATAATGAAAACGAAATGGTTAGTGAATGCCGAATGAAAAATGAACCAAACTATAGTCACCAGAAATGCAGTCACTCACGATGGGTTCCAGAATTTTCTGGAATGGAGTAAATTGAAGAAGCGGTTGAATAGATATAAAAACTCATTCGGGAAATTATAATATTTCTGCAGGATTCGCAGCAGTACTATCATAGAAGAAATTACGATAAAAAAAAGTTGAACAGACATCAGCCATAATCTGCTAGGTAGTAGACAAGCTGAGATTCTACTGGGAGACTATGACCAAACAAATATCAAACACCTTAGAAACCTCGACCTATAGGAAGAAGATTATTGCAGGTTTTTTGAAAAAGAATTGAAACCACTATTCTTGAACTAAAGTAATGTGAAACCTCTCAGGATCGCAACCACTTAAGCATATATTCAAAAAAAGTATACATATACATCAGCTTGACCATGCTAGCTCTGCCCTTGAGATGCGCAAACGATAAACAGAGATGGTTAGTGTGCGACAAAGATCCACTACGACTTTTTTTGGGACGTACAATCGTACTGTACGGTTCTTACCGATCATACAAAACCAGTTTCTCGACAATGATGAGCACTCGCTTCACTCCGCCGACTGCTCTACTGCGCATCCAATTCTCAGAGGCCAAGCTAAGTTGGTCAAGCTGTACCTACATCGGTATTTTTACTTTTCAGCGCGCATTGAAATCATCTAATCTTCAAGAGAATGTCCGTTAGGTGTCATGTTGAAAAAAGTTTTGAAATTGTAAGCGAGTTATATATACCTTCCACGCCAAAGGCAATTCTATTCGGTTTTTTCTGATAATCTGGGTTACGTTTCCAATCAAAGTATCTCAGACGATAAAAAATACCAATAATACCAACCTGTGGATCGTTCACATTTATAATACTGAACAATGAAACATCAATTTCATATCATTTATTGAAGCTTATTTAAAATTTTACTCTTTTTTCGCCTATTCTGAAACCAGGTTATTATAACTTTGTGAGGTAAGCCCAATTCAATTTCCAAAAGCTTTCTGGTGTTCAAATCCGGAAAGGGATTTGCATTATAAGCTTGCTTCAGAACTTCCATTTGTCTGTCATTGATATTCGTTCTGCTGCGGGTACGCTTACTGATCTGTGTTGGGCTGGATGTGGTGCCATCAAAGAAATTGTGGAGATTCGATGAACTAAAAACTAAAGAGGAATAATCATCAGAGACCATATTTCGATGAAAATTAGCATATTTGATGAGGTATTTGACGAAGTGAAGGTTTGAAGACTGGTTGATGAAGAGTCGAATAAAAGAATACACTCAAAATTCCAAGATTAAAATATTTCATGAATGTAAAAAGTGAATAAATATCATCTGACGCTCTATTGTATCTTCCGAAATATTCTCCAGAAAATAATATCAGTAGTAAATGATTGTCAGTTCGTCATGCCCTTCATGGTCGAGTGAGCATTTATTTATGTATCATGATTACCATTCAAAATTGGAGCTTTATCGGATTGATTGAAAATAGTTATACACCTAACAAGTGCGGAAAGTAGTACTTTTCCGCATGCGACGGCAGTTGCACGAACGATGCGGAGCGAAATTCGAAGATAAGTGAAAATTTTTAATTTTTTCCATATACCTTCATTTCTCTTCTCCAAATTTTTCTCAATACAAATTGTCACTGACAAGCTAGTGAATTTTTCTTTTAGGCTTTCTGATAGGAAAATTCTTTAAACGCAGTGACATTTTGGGGCAAATCATTTGATTTGTCCTTACTACACGTATATTGAAATAATATTCATATTTTTATTTTATAGGAACGAGGAGAGAAAATCCCAAAAAATTGGAATAATCAATGTGATATAATTTCGTGAATCACACATAATGATGCATCTACATCTAATTTAATGATTAAGGTTTATTCTTCAATATCTGGAAACCCTGTGTGATATAGTATTCACATAATTTCGAAATAAATAAATAAGAATCAGAAGAAACAGTGAAATAAATGGTGTTCTTTCAGATCTTGTGGTATCTCAAGAACCATACCAGTGTAGATATACCAAAATAGTACGAAATGTTGTATTTCGTGCAGAATGATTTTTAAAAATTTTTCGTAGTTGACAGAGCTCTGCTACGAAAAATTTGAATTTATTATTTTGCAAGAAATTGTACTATTTTGGAAAATCAGATTAGGCCATCTTGAGTTCCACAAAAAAGTAGGGAAGGGATGTGGAAACTGCTAGGTTCTATCTCGAATAACAACGGAGCATCATGGCAGGTTCAACCAAATTGGGATGCACTCTGTACAGGGTGGGCCAAATTGGACACTTTTGAAGGGAAAGTCATGAAAGTCCTATTCTCGAACCAGATGGAAGAAAACTGATGTGGGTGCCTGAGCGTCGATTCTCATGAAAAACTCAATGGTGAAATCCGCATATCCATATCTTCGTCGTTTCAGAGTTACAAGGTGTTTTTCGAAAATGGGCATTTTCGAAAAGTGTGACTACAGATATTTTGTTTTTTGCCAAAAACTGCCTGTTCTTCATTAAAATGAATCTTCATTCGTATTCTATGTCATGGACCTGGATCACACATTCATTTTCACCCCTGTTTTTGAAGAAATGTTTTGCACAAATTCATACAAAAAGTTAGTATTTATTGAAAAGGAATATTCTCAGATAAATTATGAACAGACAAAAATGGACATATATTTATATAAAGCAATACATTGTGAATTCGCATTCTCTATGTGATGAGAATATTTACTCTTTCTCGGTTGATTCAATAGAAAACAACTTTCCTGGCTATATGCCACGACGAACATTGAATTATATCTATGGAAACGTAGCTGAATATCAAAACAATCCAAGAGACGGAAATGTTATATTTTTAGTTGGTCAATTGGATATAAAGATATGGAATTCAAAGAAATCAGTGGCGCACATTTTATTGATTTCACAACTCCAATTTAATCATAGCTAAACCAGACCAGACCCTCATGACAAAGAATATTATTGCCGAATTTCTAGAGAATCGATGGAAAGATGTTTGGGATAATAATAAAAAGAAGTTTTCTTTAAGTTTGACACACTGTATCTTGAAAGCTATGCATTTCCAGACCAACGTATATATGAAATGAATTTTATGTTATCAGAATCACCCCCTTGATTTTTTCGGCATAATTTCCGGACACCCTTTATATGTTTGTATAGTTTGGAAAAGTTGGAAAAATAAGAATAAATCTGACATTCTGAAATATATTTAATTCTATCTAGCATAGCTGGAATGTTGAATTGAACAATATTATTATAAACAAAACTGTATTCCATAAGTCTACCATTACATAGAAATTTGAATATCAATATATATGAATTATCATTATGATGTTCATGGGACCCATGATAAATAGGTAGGTAGGTACTTACTTTGTGTCATTGGTATATTGTTATAATTGCAAAACAAATCGTGACTTGAGCTTGCTCATTTTGGGAATGTGATGATTTGGAGAAAATTTTGAAAAATACTGTTGAAAAGAGAGACATCTAGTTATAATTTTGTATGTTATTGAAACAACCATTAATTGAGAAAATTTTCTATTTTTTGGATACATATATAATATATTTATTCATAAAATGTCTTATATAGAAACATCAATCAAAATGTATTATCCAAATTGTTATTTCCATCGTATTTTTGGATATACCTATATGTAGTCATTTCCTATGAATAGAATAATATCTTTTCTAGAACTTTTCACTTTGTTGAGAGTGAAACCACGAACAGAGTTCATTTTATGTTCATTTTGATTCCACGTTCAATTTCTCCAACAACAACACTAGCACTAGGATCAAGAAAATTAGTTACTTTGTATACCAAGTAATCTATAGTCTGCCACATGGCCTTGGTCTCAGTAGCATAGGGTATATCTAAGGCGTGAAAAATCTTGTAGGTTACATCCAACGCAGTCAGGCAGTCATTGACTAAATATTTTTGATCATCAACAACCACGAAATACGCCTGAATACCCGATGATGCGCCTACTGCGACCATAAACGGCTGAATCGATGATCCAGTTTCTTTGATCTTTTCCTTCCTTTCTGCTATTCTCGAATCCATATCACCAAAACCCTGAAAGAACAAAAAACTATGTAGGGTTATATCCATCGAGCTATCCCTATATTATCAGTATTTTTTATTCGATAAATCAACTCCTACACGGAAAACCCAATTTGAAGAAGACTTGAGTCATTTTGACATCGATAAAAAAGGTGCATCCTTTTTTATCGCTGCAAAAATGCATGTTCCTTCATCGAGTATGCGACCGTCACTTCAATTTCTGTCTTGTCATGTTTGATGGGTAGGTATTGTATAATACGAAAATACGCAAAATGAGCCGATTTGGAGAAATTTCTTCGAAAGAAATCTCGAAATGAATAAAAAATACAATTCCGCAAGCAACTAGAAACACGAAATCGTCGATTTGGAGACAATTCATGAAGCCAGAAATTACGAATTGGGAGAAAAAACACCAGTGCCCCAAATAGCAGACATTTTGAAGGATTGAGCGTATAACATGAAGAAGCGAAATGGAGATGATAACAAGGAATATGCTTTGAAAACAATCTGGAATTCGACTGCGAAGATGATTCAAGAAAAATATTTCAGTGAGTACAATATCAAAGTTGATCCTTTCGCCGATATAACTTTCAATTTTCAATGAAGCTCGTGATGCAAGAAATAGTAAACGGTAAGAATTACAAGCTATTCCGGATAAAAGAAAGTTAGGTTCTGTTGCAATAGATAAGAAAGATATCATAAAAATGGCCAAACTATGGAATGTAAATGAACCAGATGGATTGCAAAAAAGATTTTTCCATATAGCTTCTTATGAATTAGCTTGGAGGGGAGGAGAAGCTGTGAACTGTAAAATATACTATTTCAAAGAAGAGATAAATCAAGATGGAACTACTACAGGTAGAATAAAATATAATACAATATTTTCTAAGACGGCACAAGGTGGGTCAAAAAGATTGGCAGACAGCAAATGGATAACAAAAAATCAAATCGATGAAACTATTTGTCCAGTGAGGTTATTAAAATTACTTTTAGAAAGAAGATACGAAAACAACATCTGAACGCCTTTTTTAACTCCAAACCCTTTTTGGAGGCACAAAAATTCTAAAGGTTGGTTTAAAAATGCTCCACTGGGAATTAACATGATATCTTCTTGGACCAAAATTTCAGAAAAAAAAAATTGTCCTTGACACCACAACTGGACATTCTTCTTCAGCATCGATCAAACCCTATTTACAAAGTGACCCTGAATATCACGAAAATCTAGTTAGTAAGTTACGATCATCGGATATTACGAAGTGTACGAACGAATATTCGACATGTGTCGAAACCATCAGAGAAGAAAATATAGAAATTTCGACACCAAACCATAATATTTTCAAAAATTGTAGTTTTAATAACTGCTCCTTCAGATAGTTTTTTCGATGAAGTTATATTTATTGTTGTTGTTTATTTATACATTGTCGTTGATTATTCATAAATTTTTTTCCTAACTCAAACATTTTCGATCAGTAATTTCGCTCAAAAAACTGACATCAGACAAAATTGCTCGACCTACGGTCTCGCAATTTTTTCATGTCAGTTTCTCTCGAAAAATTACTGATTGGCAAATGTTTTCGTTAGGAAGAGTTTATACGATAAAAAAAAGCTCTTGTGTTTTTACTGTTGATAAAAATAGTTATTTATTATACAAGGGAAAAAAGTAGTAGATTTTAGCTCCAGGTTGTGTTGTCTCCCGACGCGTAGCGGAGGGAGACAACAAACCGTGAGCTAAAATCTAATATTTTTCCCGTGTATAATACACTATTTTTTTCTGTGACAGAAGGAAGGACGAATCAATATTGAGAAGATATTACATTATTTCGAAATCTGAAAATTATCGACGTGAAATTTCAAGTTTTCAACAGTAGGGACACCTGCGTTTTATAGACATCTTTATCATTCTTTTGAAGTAATCAAATATCTGATGTCACTTCTGTCAGTTCAATTCTGTGATTCGATTTTGAAAAATTGCGAATTCAGTAGTTGTTTAGTAATATACGAAACCGCGAAGTCGAATGGAAGATAAAAGGACTTGCAGTTCTTTCTCGGAGACGGTATTATTGACTCATATTTCGGAACTATAGCACAACAAAAGCCATTAACAGAGTATATATATGTGATATATATCCGGGAAAGAAGTACTCACTTTTTTCCCACGGGAAAAAAGTAATTTATGAAAAGTGACATTTTATAACCTGCCAACAGAGATGAAATGCCAAACTTTTTTCCCGTCACAGAAAAAAATAATTTGCGGAAGTTGAATGCCGCGATTATGTCTTTCCACAGCTCTTATCAGAAGTTTCACGGGGTGATCCCTAAAAGCGTGGAAACCACAAATTGATTTTTTAAATGAAACACTCTGTTCTCTATATATTTTCCAGAATCTGTGAATTTTTGTGATCACATGAATATATACAGGGTATGTCACGACGAGCTCACACTATCTCGACATCCAGAATCAGTCGGGACAAACACATGGAAATATACATATGCTTATATTTCAGAATACGCTCTCTTCATTTGAAATATTTCCAGCAATGTATACTTCTATCAAAAAGTAGCACAGCTTTGATATTTCAAATAGAATACCCTGTATTTTATTGCATTTTTAAATTCTTCCTGAGGTGCTGATATCATCGATACATCACACTTGGGGTCTATCGGAAATGATTACAGAGATATATAGGATGTTCAAAATCGAGATTTTTCAAATTTAGGATTTGTTTGAGTCGAAACTATTTATTATTGGTCAAAACAGCTCACATGCCCCTATTTCAACATTTGTTTCTCTATTTACTGATATTTAATCGGAACAGATACAGGGTGATCAGAATTCTGAATCTTGAACCACCCTGTATCTGTTTCGATTAAAGATCAGTAAATAATGAATCGAAAGTTGAGATTGGAACATGTTAGACGTTTTGACCAATAATGAATAGTTTCGACACAAAAAAATCCTAAAGTTGAAAAATTTTCGAACACACTATATCTCTGTAATCTTTCTCGATAGACATCAATTGTGATATATCGATGATATCAGCTTTCAGAGAGCACATAAAAATGCGATAGAATACAGGGTGTTTTATTCAAAATATCGATGTTGCTACTACCTTCTAGTAGAAGCGACAACACTGCATTGTCGTAAATATTTTAAATGAAGAGGGCGTATTCTTAAATATAAGCATGCACATTTTAATGAATTTTTCCTGACTGATTCTCGATAAAGGTAATGTAAGCTCGTCGTAAATAAATAAATAAATTTTTACTTCTTCATCTTGAGCCTATTTTCTTCTGATCAATTGAAGATCAATCGATCAGTTTGTTGATGTATTCGAAAGTGGTGCAAAATGCAACTGTCAAATATATCCTCTTTTGTAGCTAACACAATATTGTTGGAGCCTACACACAAAAACTGCTATTTTGGGGTCAAAAAAGTGATGATAATGAAGAAATAATAAAATCTATCATACTGTTTTTATAATTTTAGTTAGTCGAAGCTTTCGAATATCTTTATTTTCATCTTCAGGGAGACTGAAGATTTTCGAAATCTTGGACTAACTTAGAAGAGTAGCTGGTACTCTTTTGACTAGGTGCATCCCCAATACTCCTTAGTTTAGTCCTTACTAGTCATCAACGACTACCCTCGACCTAAAAATAACTCTTTATTTTTGGAAAATCTAGTTCAGAGCAAGTCAAATATTTTGAAATGGGTGAACGAACAAATTAGGTAGTAAGGTAGGAATTTTGTTTTTGCCGTGAAATGAAAACTCAAAATTCCAATGAGCGTTATGTATCTTCATGATATTTCTAAATTTTACTTTAGGTATTCGCTCATGATAAATCTGGCAACGCTTTAACAATTCTAATGTCAATAACATAAAATTTTCATGTGATTATCAATTTTCGAGATGAAATATCTCGTTGATTTGAAGACATAGAAAAAATCGAATATTCTGGGATTTTTTATTAGACGTCAACATATTGCTGTGTTCAATATGTGTATCCATTTTAATGCCACCCTGTATATATATTTCTGAGATCACAAAAAATCACAGATTCCGAAACAAATATAACAAATGGAATTCCATTCGAAAAATATTATTTGTGGTTTTGATAAAGGCTGTGGAAAGGTCAACTTCCGCATTATGCTTTGTTTTCTCAAAAAGAAAATAATGTAAATATTGGAATGAGCCTTGTTGATGGACAACCCTGTACATATAAAAAGAACAGGATGCTCATTTCAATTAACAATACTTCGAATGGTAGTGCTTAATAGTAGGAGAGCAAAATGATATAATATGTCCCGGAGGCATGTGAAAACATATTTTTTTATCGAACGGCGCATGTGCCAATCATTTTCATGAGCATATACAATATAAAATGCCACTTTCCTGTGCGATGATTTGCGAAAATACAACTGTCAAATATATCCTCATTCGAGGTTAACACGAAAATCAACTCATCTGACAGAGAGTCTAGATATTCAGCTGTCACTGGTATCTGATGGTGAATTATTGTGAACTATTTGTTCAAGAAGTATAGCCAACTTACCTGAACTTGAAGGAAGAATCTTTCCGACATTTCTGCTTTTGAGATCTTGAATAGTTTGTTGGATATTTTGTTGCGGAGCTGAGAGGGGGAGAACAAATATGGAAATGATTTCAGTGATTGCAGGTTTTTATCTGCATTACTACCGGACTCCAGATCTGGAACTTGGCCAGGTTTGTGTTTCAACAAGTCGATCACTATCGAGCCGATAGAAGGCCAAAGTTGGTGAAGAGAGATGTGTTTAGCATTCGGGTGTTTCATTTCGAAGTCACTAATAAGCTGGAAAACGATTATAGAATTTATTCATGAGTAATGAATGAAAATTTCATATTAGATGGTCCAATTTGAGTTTCCTATCTCGGCATCAGTATAGCGTACGAAAGCGATGAAGGGTCAGTATACATCTTTTTTATTCTGCTTGAGAAGATTATCTTGCATGAGAAGCGAGATCATCTGGCTCAAGAGTGTGACGCAGTTATCATCCATCTGTCGGGCATCGAATAGCACGGTAGCACACGACTGTTTTTATGCATGGCTAGTTTTTTTTTTTTAGTATGTCTCTCATGAATTGGCGGGTTTTTTCGCTTTGGTCAGCCCACGTGAAAGTTACGAAGAAATGTGGTAATTCACAAAACTATTCTTTTATATGGTTAAAGTTCTCCCTGGCTTAGTTTTCGGCGTCAATCGGTGTCGTTGGATAGCCGGCATTTTTAGGTTAGTGACACATTTTCGTCCATCCACTTTATTGCTTCAACCTAACTGCACCTCGTGATGTTGGATCCCGTCTCAAAGGCGTCTTCTCTCACCTTTAGCTGTTATTGAATGAAGTTTTGCGATGAACGATAGACCTTTCGGTTTCTTTACCTTCAAGAAACCTTTGGGTTTGGATTTCTGTCCTACCTTTTTTCTACACCCCAGAGAGCGGCCTCGCTGTGCTCCGTCTCTAGAGGCAAACTCATCTTGTTCAAAAAGGAAGATGAGCTCGCTTGATGAGCGAGATCATATGGCCTGATAAGCATGATTAACCTGCTCAAGAAAACGGGATCCATCATTTTGCTCAAGCAGCAAGATAATCTTGCTCAATGAGCGAGATCATCTGGCCTCATAAGCAGAATCATCTTGCATGATAAAACGATATCCATCATCTTGCTCAGGAGGCAAGATAAAATTGCTTTATGAGCGAAATAACCTGGCCCAATAAGCAGGATAATTTTGCTCAGCAAAACGAGATCCATGATTTGGCTCGATGAGCAAGATAATATTGCTTATGAGAGAGATCATCTGGTCTAAGAAAAAAGGCCCTCTTGCTTGAGAGGCGAAATCATTTTGCTCAAGAGTTCCTTTCCAATTAGGCAAGATAATCTGGCTTCTCATGCAGGATTATCTTGCTTCTTGAACAAAATGAAGAAGATGGACATCAGCCCCCTGTTAGTGCCAGATGGTTTCGCTTCTTTGTCCTTGACTCGAATCGAACATGTCGATATTTTAGACATTCATTATTTGTTGGTATCCTGGAATTCTTCTTTTGTTTCAATCTCTCCTGTGAATTTCATGAGTATTGAGACGAAGCGTGGATTTCTTTTTGATTTTCGATGAAAGATGCATTTTTTTATCATTTTTTGAAAATACGATGTCATGTGCACTGGGCATTATGGGTGCATTATTATCAAAATTATAAATCGGATACAACCCCGTAAATAAATTATTTAGAACACGTACCTATTTATTGATAGCTGCTTGATCTTGCAGTGAGGCGAGTAAAGCCAGCAAATAGCAAACTCAAATTAGACTATCCTAAGTAGCTATATTACCAATTTGTAACCAAAAGGCTTCCTCAGAACTGAGAAAGTATTGAAATATACCAGTGGCGTCTCAAAAGCTTTCAATTTCATTTGCCTTAATTTGAATGAGCTTTTCCAATATGTCCAACACTCTTCCAATGTATCTCCAGTTGTTTGCAAAAGGGAATTATAGCTTGATTTTTCGATTTCTGGTATTACTTCTAGTTTTTTTATAGGAGTTTCTAAAAAAAACGAATAATCACTACAACACAAATGTCAAATGGCTGTATAATAATTATCATCCATTTATCTCATGATAGAGCAAAGATACCAATAATTGTATAGGTACAGGAACTGCATCAAAAAATTTGGCACCCATAATTATATGGAATGTTATGCCAGAGAATTATGAAAAAGGGAATGAAAATGAGCTTTTTGAAAAGCAAGTACTTTTTTTCTGATATTCATGAGAAGAGAATACTCTTTTTCTGATATTCAAAGTATAAATACGCTAAATACTGTTTATATAGGTTAATAGAGGAGGTGGTTTTCAATAAGCTCATGTCAATATTGCTGGTGGCAACTGTCAATTGTGTTAGTGCACCAATAACAATTATTGGTTTCATTGTTTCAGTTAATCAGATTTGAAAAAAACTAAGTATAGTTCGACTCGCTAAAGAAGACCGGAGACGAAACGGAGAGGATGAAAACGTTAAGTACGCTAAGCTCAGAGTATCTAAACAATTCGTTTCTCAACTATAGGATGAAGCCAAATACTCAGGGTGGAATGCAATGGTCACAAGGAGTTCATAAAATGAACGAAAATGGTAGATAACGAGAGAAAAACAACTACTTTCCTTGCTGAAAGCCACGCGAAACATTGGATTACATCCTCCTGAAATCTATACAATAATTCGTATAGACGAACAGAATCGCAAGTGTTTCCTTCCTAAAGGCCGAGCTGCACCTAAGTGGTTCAGGAACGCGTGAGTTCCTGCACACCGGTTTCGAGTTGTTGGCTCTCATCAGTGCAGGGCTGTCCCAGATAGCTTCTTGACCGCTATCTAGTGTAAACTGTAAACCTGACCCAACGTGAACGCATCTCAGCATTTATACCCAACGAAGCGTTCAACGTCCGCGAAATGAAAGCAAACGCCAAACGCCGCCTGGCAAGAAAAGCAACACTCCAAAACATGATCCCATTTCAGGTTTTGCAGATTACGTCGCTTTAATCAAGTCAAGAACGATATGATCGACTGCACTTTTGAACGGAAACCACCATTTCTAGCGAGTGCTGGGGATTCCGTTTTCAATTTGACAGTGAGTTGATGGTCGCAACTTTTATATATTGTGCTCTGAGCTCACATTCTTTCCTCCGGTCATCTTTTACGAGCCAGACATTAATTATGGAAACAGTACACAACATCGAGCACGAAACATCGTACGAGACCAATGAGACGCGATTTTTAAAAAGTTTTCGCCGATGAAATAATAAGTCTCGTATCAAGTCTCATCTCGCAGCATCCACTCTCGTCTTGATTCGCTTCTCATACGGGAGTCTCGTAAAAGTATGGGGATCTTGTCATGTCATATCTAGACAAATCGATGTAGTGGATGCAATATCTTCAATACAAAGATAATCATTACTCATTAACTCACTTTGAAATGCTTATTATCAATACGGGTTTTATCAAAAAGTGGCTTTTATTCGTATTTCAATTAGGTTTTCAAGTCCGCACGTACAAACCCAGACAGCACCAGATATTCCATGAATCTCCCTATCATATTCCTTTCGGAATATTGGAATATTCTAGAAATAATCTGGAATATTCCGGAATATCTGTGGAATATTCTCTAAATATGCGAATGGGAATTCCTCAGATAATCATAGAATATACCCAAAAGAATATTCTATGTTGAATGTTCCTGGAATATTCCAATAAACATATTCTAGAATAAAAAAAAGTGACCCAAGTAGGGATCGAACTCGTGACCTCAAGACTATCAGAGCAACGCCTTGACCACTAGGCCAGTAATCGAATTGAATAATGTTATACATATCAAGTTCTTGTGAGAGCATTGTTCGAAATCGGGTCATAAACACTTTTTGTTTCAAAATCCCCTTACATCTAATTGATGTTCGATACTCACATCTCTGAAATAATAAATGGTATTTATGTGTAGAGAAACATAGGAATATTCATGGAATATTTCATGAATATACACCACAGAATATTCAGTTGAGAATATTTCATGAATATACCGCACAGAATATTCAGTTGGGTATATTTCATGAATATACCGCACAGAATATTCAGTTGGGTATATTTTATGAATATACAACAGAGAATATTCAGTTGGGAATATTCCTGGGAGATTCATACCTGAATATTCCCTGAACATGTCCGACTATTCACTTTGGAATATTCCTCTTAGATGTTCCAGAGGCATGTATATATTCTAGGAATAATCGATGAATATTCGGAATATACTCCTCCTTTTTAGCATATTCAGAGAATATTCTATGAATATCCAGTGCTGTCTGGGAATATCTACTTGCGAGACTCTCGTACGAGACGCGAGACCTCATGCATAAGACAAGTATTGTCTGATATTATGTTCATACATATTACCGTATAACTTTTACCTTTTGGAACACTTTCTCGATCTGTCATAGATCTTGTCAGAGCTCTTTTCAGATTGACCCATCTCGAATACAATTTTCCTCTAGTAGGGAATTTTCTAGTTGAACCTTTATCAACGGTATATGGGATAAAATAAGAGTCTCTTCGCTCTGATGGAAACAAATTCACTATCTCTTCAGCAGCTTCTTGGAGTATGAGAGGGAATCTGAAATGCGAAAATTATTTTCTGGTAGGTGATTTAGATAGTTTGACCGCCAAAATGGACGTATCTACCACCTAATGATTTAGTTAGGACATAATAGTTATATTTATGTGTCAAAGGGACGTAAAGTAGGGCAATGAGTAATTGTAATTTTTTATAGATCATGAGTAAAATTATGACTACTAACCTACTTCTGGAGTCATCCTGGACCAGGAGATAATCGATTATTATCCGTACAAGTTTTTTCCTGCAATTGTTGTCCAATTTGTGTTTGTTGTACAATATAACGCGGCCATCAGGATTCTGCATGAGTAATTCCTCCAAGCCCTTTAATTAAGGTAGGTTTCTACAAGTTTATGAATTTTCAGCTCATCGAAATACTCACATTATGGAATACACTGCGGTTGCCTACCCATAGGTTTCCTGAAATACGAATAACTTAGTTTTTCTAGATGATAGAACGAATAATATATGACCGTGCACTTGGCAATTTATTATAAGGTTTATATCAGAAACTTACATCAGTTTCTATGTAGTCTACAAGTATTGGAAAAGAACATGGTTTGCACCAGGGCAGTACGGGTCAGTGAAAATATATCGAAAAACATTATATCGAAATACAAAATAACGAAAACTAAATATCGAAAAACCAAATAACGAATGGAATAAATATCGAACGGAAAAAATGTCGAACGGAAAAAATAGAGAATGACATAACGGCGAACAGAAATAATATCGACACAGTATATTATCTAATAAAATGGAATAACTAAAGGATGCGTGATGAGTCCATTCCATGCGAAGAAGCCATCAATATGGAAATATCTATAGAAGCTATTATCAATTGAGAATGATCAATTGAAAATGTTTCACGAAATTTCGAGTAAAAAAAAACAAAAGGAGATGAAATATAAAGATTTGACCAGAAGATATATTCAAAACTCATTCAACGTTATTATTCATGACAGGTCCAAGAAACATCCACCTTTTGCCACAATCACACTTCACTCGCTACCTTATCATTATTATAAACTGTGGCAACGTCTTTTCTTTGTTTTATATGCCTTCTATGAGCGATGACCCCTCCATGAAAAGAATTTCTGGTGGAGAAATGAGGTCTTGTTCGAAATCTTATCTTCATCGCTACCTACCTATATTTTTTCAATTATGTCATTCGATAGTCTTTCTCAAGGTTTGTAATTGATGTATTTATTCCCATTACACCCTGTATTTCGATGTAGACGACCAGATTTGTTTCAATAATTATTCCGGAAGTATTATTAACAACATAATATGAGGACCTATTTTTTCAAATAATAGAGGAGTTTAAGTAACATTTTCATTCGTTTCCCTTCATTATGGAAATGAAAGCGTTTCATGTAAATGAAACGAGTTTTATTGAAGTGTATTGAATGAATAAATGGATTAATATTTCATGTGATCAGATGCTCAAAATGCCATTCAATTCTGTCAGACAAAATGCTCAAACATGAATTTGTTTTTGATTCATAAACTGGAATATATTGGCCATCTAATGAAATGGATTGTAATATTATCCTAATAACAAGAATGGAATTTGAAAATTGATCGTACTATTGTTTAGAACTGAATAGAATGCATTTTGAACATGTGTTCAAATAAAATATAATTTCAACACAAGACAATTTATTCGAAAATGTTTCTGTGCCACCCTGTTGTATCAAAAAATAAATTCTTGTGCACGTGGATATTACTGAATAGAACCTTGCATTCGAGGTATTGGAAAAGAGGCAGATGATGCCATTTGACATTTCAAAATTGGGGTATATGCCGCATGAGGCGTACCTTTACTGGAATATATGGTCGTTCTAGTCCCCCCTAAGTCTTAAGCCTTCGTGGCAAATGGCGATTTTCAAAATTTTATATTTCGCGAGATATTCGCATTGTAAGTTTCACACCTTGTATGTCTGAGCTAGTGCCTTGCAAGTGATGGGATGCTATTTTTTCAAATCAATACAAATAAATAAATAAGACGATTGAACTAATCCAAAGATAACGTTTATCTGAAAATATGTTCACTATATACTATAACAAATGAAAATTACATAAGAACGATAGCAACGATAACTAGATTCACTTCACCCTAATATGAGTGACAGTTTTTCATTGATGAAAAAATTCGTGGAAGACTATGAAAATCATTCCAAATATCATCTACAAGCGAATAAAGCGGAAGTTCTTGACAGCGGATTCATCTTTGCCTCTTAATTCTGAAGCGTTCAAATAACTAATGAAGCATTCCATGATCATGATATTGGACCCCAGTCACGATGGATACAAGCCATGTGCTCTCTGAGCCTCTGCTTTCTTTTGAAGCTCTTGCGACACACATGACAGGTGAAAGCCAGATCCTTGCCGCAATCTTGCCTCAGATGCGAATTCATAGTGACCAAGTTCTTGTACATATTGCCACACCGTGGACATTGCACAGGAGCTGAATAATCTGAAATCGAAATGAGTACAGTGATAATCCCTCCAACCCCAATCAGCCAAAGTACATCTGTTAGACCTCTTTGAGATATATATTCGACTAGGTGTAATTACGTCTTGGAAGTCATAAAGACGTACATTTTCCAATGAACTGTGCATCTTCAAGATGATACTTTTTCTTATGAAACACCCCGTAAATTTGACACGGTAGGATAGTCCCAAGAATCCCAATTTCAGATATATAAATAACCTCACCTTTTTCTAACACAATTTGAGAAATATTCGCGAAAATATATTCAGTGTAAACCATTTTACATTACTGAGAAATAAATCGAATAACGATTATCAAAAATTGAATAACCTCTGTGAAAAAATAATTGAATAGGGGACAGCGTAGCTGTCTTATTTCATTTCAATACAGAGGTTTTATGCCATCAAAGGATGATATTTTTTTTATTCTTTTTGATTATCAATCTAACCTATATACCTAACGGGCCAATCCCAGTTTCTGCACACGGAGTGTGCCAATTTGCCACATAAATATCTTGTTCGTTATTACTCGAGACACATTCGTCAACGATCGTTATTCAAGTCACCTATAAGAGTAATTCAATAACAAGCGGTGAGCCATCCAAGTACTTGTATATTAAAACAATAATCATAATGCGTTTTCGATAATTAGAATTTGTGAACCTTCGTCATAAACAGTTTTTCCTGAAGTAGCTACAACAAGTTATCTAAATGGAGAAGATCAGATGTAAGTACTTTTAGAGTAGTGTCCTTATATTTTTTGTCGGATAGTTTCCTAATAGTTCTGTTTTGAAGTAATCTGTAATCTGATTACTAAGAAACCTGTCTACAGTTTAGCATGGAGCTGAAGCTAAGCCACTGAGTGATATTTCAGTGTCTCTGATGAAACATAAGAGGCTCTATAGAGTCACTTATACCGAACTGTGAAATTTAGAGTTCTTACACGTGCTAGTGGGAAACGTAATTTTTTAACATTGACCTTCAATAGGAGACAATTTGCCTAATATCAGATGGTCGCACTCAGATATCTGATATCAGGACAAAATATTTATTATTTGACTCCATAAAGAAAACTCATTGACAACTACATTTTGATGTTTTCGTCGACAAAAAGAAAGATTAATGCTGTAATCTCATTGATATCCGGTATCAAGAAGTTTTTATGTCAACGTAATTTGACGATTTTTCGAAAAATTTCAATTTTATTTTTCAGCATGTGACAATGATTCATTTTGGTTTATTACATGATTCCCTATAGCTCATTATTATTTGTTTCACTCTGGAAAATTCCGTAGATAAATTAATATTATAGGGTTCAAAACAAGTATCCCATATTAGGGCACTTTATTCTACCTTCGAAGAATAATTTGTTTTGAATCGGCATGATGAGCTTCGATAAAATTTATCGATCGTATGACAGGCTATAATCACTGTATCCAGATTTCAAAAAATAATTATAATTATAGGTATTTTTATAGAGCTGCTCCAATAGACAATAGAAAGGCAATACGAGTAGAATAAAGGGCTGCATATAAATCGTCAAAACGTATTTCATTAAAATCGTATCGTTTCAGAAGTTAGGCGCCAGGTAGCCGTGCGGACAGTGTCAATATTCTAATCCGCATTAGCTTGCCGGTCGTGGGTTCGATACCCATCGACTGCAGACATTTTTCTGATGGCCCAAGAAAGTGTTTGGGATCACACGTTAAAAGGCAAGGCCCCCGTCATTCCTTGCTCGCACAAGACTCTCAAAGACTTCTGAGGGTTGCTCGTAAGGGGGCAACCGAATGACGGATAGAACAATTTCAGAACAACAACAATAATCAAACAGAATGGTATTTCGACTGAACCATTATATAACGATGCAATTATTCATTGAAATGTGAAACGCATGACATGTACTTTATAGGAACGAAAAACTTCATAACGTACTTCATGAGAGTGGTAATTCATTATAACCGTGTTTCATCAGAATGCTATTTCATCAGAAGGATCGGTAATTCAGCAGAATTTTTTGTAGACACTTATCTGTCAGAATTGTATCTTGTCAGAACGGTAATCTATCAGTACCGTGAGTCATCATGATATTGAACTATATTCTGTCAAGGCATTGGAATATCTTCATCGTATTTCGTTGCAACATCAAAATGTTAAATCGCATTCTAACAATGATTATGTTCTACTGAAGCGACGAATGACGTTTCTGATAGATTACTGACTCGATGAAAAACGTTTCTATATAATGAGGCTATGACCAAATACGTTTCTGATGATTTACTGTTGCTAAGAAATAAGGCTCTGTTGGATTACCATTTCTATATGATACGATTCTGATAGAAACAATAAAAAGGTACGGTTCTGACAAATCACTGTTTTGATGACTCGCGATTTGTTGTCATACATTCTCACAAGTTACGGATTTATATGTATCTCATTGCGAATACATCAGTAGCTGTCACTTACGTTTCCTACTAATTACAATTCGGATGAAATAACTCCTACAGGAGTAGGCTCCTATGATCAAACTATTTAAATCGATCCACATGAGTATCAAATTCAGTATTTTATTTGCAGAAATCGTATGTTGATTGATGACAAGTCAAAAGATGTCTGGTGAGATTGTGATTGCGAGTGAAAGCTTTGGAACACAAAGTGCATTTGAATTGAGGTCCAGTCTGGCATTCCCACCTGATGTGTCTCAATAGGTGTTTCCTTCGTTTGTAGAATCTTTGGCAGTTGGGGCAAGAGAAACATTTTGAAGTATCTGGAAAATAAATGTAGATTGGAAATTTTAAACACTGGATTGGGTGATCTTTACTCACTTACGTATGCAGTAAGAACCCAAGTGGTTATTATAACTGATTGAAAAATCAAGGCAAGAACTGAATACATGGGTGTAATCAGGGTGAACTAATATGTGGCAAATGAAATATTACGACTTGAGCTAAACAGCTATAGATTTTTTTACGGAGGTCATATATTTGGATTAGAAGGTCATAAGCTGGGCTATCAGCTTATACCGCTTTACTTCGACTGATGAAGACATCACAAGATCAAATCTAGAATTTTTAAAAAAACGTCCAAACGCTTTCAACACTTATATTTTATGAAAGATTCAAAGACTTTCTCAAACTGAAGGAGAAAGAAGGTGAAACTTACCCAGCAAACAATAATGCATGGGCCGTTACTTTCAGAGTAATATGTCATCCCATTGAACTACCATTGGCATATAATATTGGCATTCTTCAATGGCAAATCACGAGTTTTCGGCAGATCACTCTCGATACGATGAGAATTTCGAAAGGGTTGAAATAAGAAAAAAGTTTGTTTCTTATTCACGCATCGAATGTCATGAAAATATACTGATTTGAAATTTGAAAAGTTTGCCACTAGATTTTGCTCACCCTGTGATGATTCGTGTCAATCGAAAGCAATTAGCGATCCTCTTAGGCTTTATTCGAAAAGTATCTCTTATGATTTTATTGAGCAGGCACTCTCTTTTTTGGTATTGATGTTTTTGACCAGTGGTGCAAAATTGAATTTTTTTACGTGAATATCAATAAAACCGATTTCAATTGAATTCCATGAGTGTGTAGGTAACCACCTGGAAGCACTTATATGTGCAACACGATATACGGCATGCCTTTTTAAAATATACAGGGTGGTCCGTTTTTTAATACGGAAAATCTAACAGCGTATAGTACTCGTTGAAATAATAAAAAAACTTTCTATGAACATATACTTTTAAACGCTTCGTTTTTGAGATATTGGGTGTCAAAAATACGCTTCTGAATATATTTTTTCAATCAAAAGTTAGAAACGGTAGATAAATTAACGAAATTTTTCACAGATACTAAACTTTTTGAGCTTTATCAGATTAAATAAAAATCATTCATATAAAAACTATTCAGTGGCGGCTGAATCTGGGGCGGCGAAGGTAATAATTTCACAATTTTTTCGGGTTATTATTTTTCATTTATTTTTCAATTTTCAATGAAAAGAGCTCGCTTGTAAGATTTCATAACATTTTTTAGTTGAATAATACTACTTGACATCAATTAAAAAGATGTAGGCATGCTCAGTTACTCACTGTTCACTGTTTATATGTGCTGTCACTCTGAAAGTTCTGTCAAAGAAATAACGAACTAGAGTTATTCCGTGTTTTTATCAAAAAGTGTAATAATTTTATTCCAATTTTGCCGTTTGTCAATATGCCTATGGAATTTAGTACTGAAGAGTATGCAGATATTCATTTCGTTCATCTTGAACCGTTTCTAACTTTTGATTCAAAAACTATATTTATTCTGAAGCGTATTTTTGACACCTTATATCTCAAAAACTAACTATTAAAAATGTACTAGCTTGGCAACATTGAAGACAAATAGCAGGGTACCCACCACTGTGGTCTATGGTCTGTTGTGGCTCTTCTAAATACGTAAATGATTGATTTGCAATGGTGACATGATTGGTTTGGTAAACGGCCAATGTTAACTAGATTTAATGCATAACAATGTGTCTTTCATTGGGTTTAGAGACGTGCAGAGGTTTGGTTTTCATTTTTCCTTCTGAAACGAAGCTATTAGATAAGAAATCTAAGAGGGCAAGAAAATTGTATTCTGAAATGCACGCTCCTGAAAATATGTAACTCATTCATAAACTGTAATAGGTCTAAAAGTTAGCTCATTGATATTTCCACAATAGATGTGAATTTCATCACAATCGGTCATAGCATTTCTGAGAAATCAATAAATAATCGATTTTTGAAACTTGAACACCCTATATCTCGAAAACGAAGCGTTTGAAAGTGTATGTTCATAGGAAGTTTATTTATTATTTCATCGAGTACTATACGCTGTTGAATTTTCCGTATTGAAAAACGGCCACCCTGTATATCATTATGACGTCACACTTTTTTGGAACACCCTGTATAATCGAAATCAATTTCCTGGTATGCACCCTATGTG